TTTTTCAACGTTTATTTATTTGTGGGACAGAGAGAGACAGAGCATGAACGGGGGAGGGGCAGAGAGAGAGGGAGACACAGAATCGGAAACAGGCTCCAGGCTCTGAGCCATCAGCCCAGAGCCTGACGTGGGGCTCGAACTCACGGACCGCGAGATCGTGACCTGGCTGAAGTCGGACGCTTAACCGACTGCGCCACCCCGGCGCCCCAACAATGGCTATTTTAAAACAAAAAATCCAGTAAGATGTTATCTATATGCTCATTAGCAACTAGCATTCACATCAAGGAAAGCATCTTAAATCTATCTGGTGTCTTTAACTCTAAGAAAGTATCAATAAAAAGGAAATAAATTATTTCATTTTCCAAACTGAGTATGACAGGTAATATGTTAACAGCAAAAGATACGCTGTTACACTAAAAGAAGACTGAAAAATGACTGATACTGAAAACCTAAGTAAAGATTAATTATTTTATGGGACTGTCAGGAGAATAGAGACATTTAACTCTATCTTTAAGTTTTTTCTACTTGTCATGTTATTTTCAGGACAAAATTTTTATCAGCCACATCTTATAAATTGTTTTTTCTACTCTTTCCCTTCCTTAACCAAGAACCTCATCAGAAACTATCACAGAAAAATTAATAAGATATAACAGAATTACAGTACCTGAAATACCAAAGTTTCAAAGACTTTGTCTGCTAATAATAAATTTACCTAAAAATAATAATCAAAACTTAATTTAAAATAAAAACATGTTATTACCACCAACCTGTTAAGTCAGAAATTATTGCTGGATTTTCCTCAAAGTGTTTTGCTGGATGTCTTATAAAGTGGTGATTCAAAACTGACAATTTCTTCTTGGGATTTTGAGTTATCTAGAAAGAAGGATACATTCTGCATCTTTTTGTATCCATTGTGATAGTTCAATAAAACTTTGCTTCAAATAATAACAATAAGAACCAAGAGTTATTTACTCTGGGTCAGGCACTGTTCTAAGTACTTAATATGTTATTAACTCATTTAAGCATCACAAGAGCTCTAGGAGATAATAACCTTTACATTTGCATTTTTACAAAGAAACCAAAAGCAGACAGAAATTAAGGAACTTGCCCAAGGTCACATTCCTATTCAGAGTCTGGGTCAGGATTCAAACCCAGGCAGTCTGGCTCCAGAACCCATGACATTAATCATTATGTAACAGTACCTCTTAAGTAACAGTTAAGAATAAAATATACAAAGGTGTATAGAGTCAGATGGGAACTTAAGAGATCCACCCGACTAGTGATTCCAACACACTGATTCCAAACTCAGGCCAGTGCCAATCCCACAACAAATAATTCACTGGTCATTAGAGAAAATATGAATTGCCAACTGCACTTCCTTAGAAACTACTTTACTTTGTCCTACTTACTTTCATTGTGTCTAAATGTCCTTTCTTTCATGAAATGAAAATGAGAGCAGAAAATAGGATTTTTTTATTGCCTGTTTTAAAATACCATAGCACAATAAATATCTACAACTTTATACCAGTTTCTCCCTTAAAGAAAAAAAAAGTACTGGGTATAAAATCCATTTAGAATCTACCACTATTTAATTCTCTAATTTAAGCACTGAGGCTCTGACAGGTAAGCGATTTTCTCAGTAACACAGTGAGAGAATGAAAAAGAAACGACAGTGAGGACCCATGTCTAGTAAATCTTTTCAATCCCTTAGGAAGTCACCTTTTGCTTGAACATTTATTTCTAACTTGCTCTTGTGGAAGCTAAAGCTAGTACAACCCGATTTCAACAATTCTTATGGGGAATGGTCTGCCAAATCTGACTCCTTGTTACTTTGCTATATGAAGTTAGAGGCCAGCCCTTCAAGAAACTGAAGACCAATAAAACATTTCTTTACAGATTAAACAATTTCAAAAACAAAACAAAACAAAACAAAACACATCAACTGTTTTTCACAGATTTCAAACCCTCACCACCCTGACTGCCTTCCCTGAATAAACTCAAGTTTGTTAATGTCCTCCTTATGATACAATATATAAAATAGAATATAGTTCTTCAGATATCATATAACTACAGTAGAGGACACTGAAATTTTATCTTCATTGATGCAAACTCAAGACTTCAATCAACTCAATCTAATATAAGACTAATTCTGACTTTTTTTTTTAAGCAGCCACATCTGTTTGCAAACATTAAAAGTAATAGGTCTTTTTGCCAAAAATTTTAGTTAAGACAGGACTCTCCCATCCTTACTTACTCTGGGGAATCCATCCATTCATAAGTTTTTAGCTATGTCTTTCATTTTTAAAAATTTTTTTAATGTTTATTTATTTTTGAGAGAGAGACAGAGAGAGACAGAGCGTGAGTTGGGGAGGGGCAGAGACAGAGGGAGACACAGAATACAAAGCAGGCTCCAGGCTCTGAGCAGGCTCTCAGCACAGAGCCCAACATGGGGCTCGAACTCCCAGACTGTGAGATCATGGCTTGAGCTGAATTAGGATGCTTAACCGACTGAGCCACCCAAGGGCACCTGAGCTAGGTCTTTTATGATAACCATCAGAAATTATTCTCTAATTCTGATTTATTCATACCACATGTTTGGGACTAAAGAAAGGTAGCAATCATATCCTAACTTTTTAATTGTCTAATATTTAGTCCAGTCTATTATATATAGTGAGTTTGTGAAATAGAACTCAGTTTCAAATTTTGATTCTTAGCAATATTAGTTATCAAAAATTTCTCATTTGTCTCTTAAAAATGTGTCTGTAAAATACTTATCTATCCAGAATTATAACATATTACATACTAGTATTAAAATTTTCTCATCTCAGGACTTAATGGAAAACAAGATTTATTAAACTTAGTTTTATGTAGTGTGTCAACTATACTTCAGTTAAAAAATAGATCTATGCACAATTTTTAAGGATTAAACCTGTCTATTATTGTTCTTCATGGGCTGAAATGGTTTTTTCCCTAAGACTACCAAATGTCATTCCAAATACAACCTGGTCTTGCAATTTCAAGGGATTCTATTATTATATCTAGTTGCACTCTCTCAAACAAACTCAAAGACATTGACCATAGTTAAGACTCATAATTAAAACAAGGTTGAAAACTAAAAAATGTTTACATTCCATGACCAATTCAGTGTTAATACTATAAAGCTGATTTACTTTAATAAATATACTAACTTGAATATGGTATTTTGTGGCTTAAAATGTAGTAAAACAAAACAATCTGGGTCTCCCTTTTTTTTGGGGGGGGTCCCTCTTTTATTGCATTCTTCAGGAGAGAGGTAAGCATCTCATCTACTAGTAGTTCTGCAGCTTTCTGAAGGGTTAAGGAAAAAACACAAACACTACCCCCACTTCCAACAGAGAAAGCAAAAGAGCAAAGTTCTAAACACAATAAGGAAAGCATTACCTAGAGATCTATTGATAAAGAGCCACACATACTAGACTCTCAAAGAATTGGAGCCTTCAAGAGAAAGAATCCAAAAATATCTGAGCTGAATACTTTGTCATAATGAAAAAAACTACCTAATACACAAGGAACTTCTTCTCCAAAAGGAGAAGCCACAACCATAGTTCTCAAAACATGTTTCTATAAAACAGTGAAAGACTCCAAGATGACCTGAGGTTAAAAAAAGAGCTGCTTAAGATGAAAAACAGCAGTATGTTCCCAATTCACAGAAAAATATGTAAGTTCATTCCCTGAATTTTGCTGGAATCCTTGGTGCCCACTACTATATATCTGCTGGCAGACAAGAAAGAGATGAAAGAGCAATACTATAAAGGGCACTAGGACTTCCAGGTGTCCTGCTAATTGAACAACTTGGTAAATCACTGGCCTAGAGAGTTTATAAGTGAAATCTCATTACAGAAAAGATTCAACTTCTAGAAGTACATAATTTAAGTTTTGGCCAGAGTGGGTTATTCAATGAATTCAATGATAGGAATAACTTTTCTTATCAGAAAGGTAAAGATGCTTTTTAAAAAAAATTTAAACAAAAAAAAATTTAAACAAAAATGTCTAGTAAGATAGATCATGAAGTCTACAACATATTACTAAGAAAAAAAAAGATAACCTTGTAGTAAGTATTTTCCTTAAAGTTAAAAGGATATATATCAAATTTTAAATGAGTAAAGGTGAAGAATTAGGGGGAAGATTTAAAGTATCCTTTCACTTTTTCATTTTCACTGCATTCAATTAATTATTCATAGTGATCAAAGTATTATCAGATACAAATAAAGAGATTTCTATTTTGAAACTAATTAGTTATATAACATAAGGCATCCACTTTTATGAAAGTAAAAAAAAATGTATTAAATCCTTCCCTGCTGTAACAAAAGCTTTTACTTTACTGAAGTAATATTTAATTTTAAAAATACATACTTGTTTAGTATCAGCATCAATAAGATCAAAGAATGCTCGAATTGTAGTCAATTGCAATTGCTTACACCTAAAGAATAAAGTTACAAATGAAATGTTCTTTAAAAGTATACTTTTGATACAAACATGCACAATTCTATTATTTAATGAAATATCTGGGTTTCCTTTACTGCTCTAAACTCTAAAAGTATTTAACAAATCATTATTATTAAGTATATATCTTAAAGTTGAAACATAAAAATAAAGCAAATTAAATCTTCCTGGATGTTTGACAGTGGAACTATCAGGGTCCTTCTGTTTTCCCTGAGTCTCCTTGTCTACCCCAGCTATAGACAATATCTGCCCCATCTTTCTATGCCTAAACTGTTGTGCTTCTTTCAGACACCATAGACTACACAGCCAGAGGAAAGTGAAAAAAGAATCTTTAAGCCAAATCATATAGAGAGAAGATAACTAGGGTCTACATATTTCTTACTCGTAATCTATTTATATAAAGGATAAATCTAACTGCTACTTGGCTTTCCATGTACTATTCTAGAATAGTCAATGCTACATTAATCAAGTTCCTGAGTTTGGTGACTGGACAAGAGCTCAGTGGTCTTATCGCAAATACCTTTAATTTTGCTAAACTATGACAAACTCGAAAATTTTGATATTTGAGTCTAGCTTGAGACTGATGCTATTGGTTCTTCAAGAAATGATTTTACAGGCTGCCAAAGGAACCTTGGTCATACTGAGACAAAAACCAAGGTTAGAGTTCTAGGTACTTTAGTCAATCTTTCTCCCATATTATTATTTGTGGATAAAGTTCTAATCAATGCACTGATGAGAAAAAAGGAGCACCACAAATCACCAAAATAAGTTATATTAACTTACCACACAATGGAGAGGTGGTCTGTTGAGACCCAGGTCTTAGGCACTGCTGAACTCTAAAAGGACAGGAAAAAAAAATCCAACTTAAGAAAAGCACATTTGTTATTCTCCAAAAGGTTTGAAATTCCCAGAAGCTAATATTTAGAAACACGTAACATTAGTTTCACTACTTTATGATGCATAGACATATTTAAATGATGCATTATTATAAGAGGTGATCCAAAAATATTAAGGTAGTCCCTGCATAAAATCATTGTCATTACTCCTTAGTTAAGCTTAAATTACCCTTTAAAAATTATTTAAGTATCCACAGATTCCTTACTGAAGTTTAATGTCTAACTCTATTACTCTATTAAGAGGCTGTTTATGATTCTTTAATAAATCACAATTATTTTAGTAATTGCAGTTCTGACTATCCTTTGATAAAGTCTAAGATGTTACTTTTTAATCAGGTGTGCTTAAGAAATACCCAGACCTGGGGAGATTTTTCAAAATTAACATGCCTGACCACAATTCCAAAACTATTAAATCAGACTCTTAAAAGTAGGGCCCAAGGTTACTTATTTTGAAAAAAATCCCTAGATTAGGATATGTATTACTAGTTAGAGACGGAATAGCAAAAGGCTCCTAAAAAATGTAAGTATTTGAAGAAAACTTCCTGACAATGGCACAGTACCCCCTTCAAGAACTAGACTCCTTTTCATACCAGGTAATGACTTCCTTCCCTGTGAATAGCATCTTACATACAATGGGGAAACATTAAGTAAATCTGATTATTATTTTTCACAGTGTCTCTCTTTGCATTCAAGAAAGGGTTGTTTACTGTCAGCCTGGGTCCCTTAATGGGACTCCTTCAAAAACCATCCACCAACTTAAATACATATTTAGGGCAGTTACAGGAGTAAAACGTAAACTTGTCTAGTGTTTAAGTGCTAGTTCTGTGTGAGTGTATATCACAGCATTTCAGCCTACTTTACTAATACAATCGAGGTCTCTAACTTAATTTTTCTAGTTCCAATGGATGTAAATGTCAATTAACTATTCTTGAGATAATCATTAAAAAATTGTTACTTCTTAAGAATTGTTTTTTAAAGTAAACATACATGCAGATATATAAAAGACTATAAACTATTTAGGGGCTAAAATACTAAATAAAATTCTGACAATAACCAGCTTTGAGAAAATTCCATTTAGAGACAAAATATTTTCATCAGAGATACAGAATTACAAGCTCCTCAAACAACAAATTATCAATGCATCAGAAAAGAGGGACACGGACACACACACACACACACACACACACACACACACACACACTTAAAGAAACCAAAGTTCTTTAAAAGATAAGCTGGAGGGGGGCGCCTGGGTGGCGCAGTCGGTTAAGCGTCCGACTTCAGCCAGGTCACGATCTCGCGGTCCGTGGGTTCGAGCCCCGAGTCAGGCTCTGGGCTGATGGCTCAGAGCCTGGAGCCTGTTTCCGATTCTGTGTCTCCCTCTCTCTCTGCCCCTCCCCCGTTCATGCTCTGTCTCTCTCTGTCCCAAAAATGAATAAACGTTGAAAAAAAAAATAAAAAAAATGTTTAAAAAAAAAAAAAAAAAAGATAAGCTGGAGGAAAGGACACCAATAGAGCATCATGCCCCAACCAAGTCTAGGAAATAAGACATCCAATTATATATATATTTGTGTTTTACTAAAGAGTTGATATTTCACGTTTTGAGGACTTCAAGCAAATATCTGCCCAAAATATTCAACACCAAATTACAAGATTCATACTAATAATGAGGTCTGATTTTCCAATTTAGTTGCAAAGCTATTATATGGTTATATCACAACTCCTCCAGTAATAAGAAAATGGTGGGTAATTGCAGAATGGCTTAATAATTTTTGTTTTATGTGTGGCAAGTATTCAGTAATACTTGTTCAATAAATGAACAGTAACCTAAGGTGGGGCAATAGATGAACTGAGCAAGGGAGTTATGTATGAAGAGAACAACCATGAAACAAAGCACGATCTCTTAAAAAGCAAAAAGAACTCTATGCATTTTTTTTAGAAATTAAGTTATATGGGGCACCTAGGTGGCTCAGTCGATTAGGTGTCTGACTCTTGATTTTAGCTCAGATCATGAATTCAAGGTTCATGAGTTTGAGCCCTGCATTGGGCTCTACACTAACAGCACTGAGGCTACTTGGGATTCTCTCTCCCTCTCTATGCCCCAACCCCGAGTGCACTCTCTCACTCTCAAAATAAATAAACTTAAAAAAATTATTTAAAAAAAGAAATTAAGTTATATTTGGAAATGATGTGTAGTATACACATGTATACATACTACTTACAATATCTACACACTGTGTAGAGTTAAAAAGTTAAGATGATAACTGAAGACTTCAAGGTAAAAAATATAAGAAATAATATAAATCCTAATAGAAAACTTGAACTCACTTTACAGAGGCTATGTATCCCAGTTAAAGACGAAATACTTGATGTCCTAGCAGGGAGAATAATTAGCAAATTAATCAATCAGGGTTCTGTTATACTATAAAAGCTACTTTTTTAATTTTAAAATTGGTAAACCTTAGAGTGCCTGAGTGGCTCAGTCAGTTATGCATCTGACTTCAGCTCAGGTCATGATCTCACAGTTCATGGGTTCAGGCCCTGCATAAGGCTCTGTGCTGACAGCTCAGAGCCTGGATCCTGTTTCAGATTCTGTGTTTCCCTCTCTCTCTGCCCCTCCCCTACTCACACTGTCTCTCTCTCTCAAAAATAAACGTTAAAAAAAATAATAAAAATAATAAAATTGGTAAACCTTTATTCAAGTTCAACACTCATAAGTATGTGATATGCTTGATATTCGACTTCCATTATAAATAGCACACCACTCAGATGTAACAAGGGGCCCTTGGACTTCAGTCCATAAATTCTTATGGTTAAAACTCATCAATGAGCAGATACTTATTTTGAACAAGAAACAATTATTCTTACGAGTCACCTTCATAAATAAGTCATTTTCACAAGCTTTCTAAGATCCTTTTCACTTTCTGTGGACATAAGCACTATGCCTCTGCCTTCCCAACATATTCATTTTTTCATATTCTGTCTCTCACACACAAATGTGCACACACACACACCCACACACACATAGCACTACACCAACTCAGTAGTCATTTTCAAGCAAGTACATATTTTTCCTTTCATACCCCATTGTATCCATCCTGTTACTATTTCAGTAGAATCTTAAAAAAAGATTACCACAACAGATAAGGCACTGGTATGATGGCTTAATTTTGGAAGAAAAGTCAGTCCTGAACGAACTTGGTAATCCCGGAATCCTCCAGCTACAGAAAGCGTGGTTAAATTTATGTGTCTAGCATTTAGAATCCAATAGTTGTTTACAGTCATATAAAAATCTGGTAGGAAATAAAGACACATATTAAAAATTAGTAGTCATTCCCTGCAACAATAAAGTATCTATGATACTAATACTAAACTGAATTTCTGTTTAAGCCATACTGAATTGCCTACAAACAATGTTATTCACGTTTCTCATTTTTGAGTAGTCAGTATCTTTATACATGGTCTATTTTCCTATTAAATCAGAGTACAAATACTAAGAGTTACTAAAGGTCTCAATAAAGAAAAAAGATATTCAAACTTCATTAGTTTTGTCAAGTCCATACACAAACAGGTCTCTACATCCCACAAAGATGCTGCTAGACCATAAGCCACACAGTGTAATAAGGAGAAACCCCTAAAATTCTACCAAAGATAAAGTTCGCTATGCTAAAAAAATTGTAGATCTTCCTAATCATGGCAGTATGAGAGCTTAGCAGCTCTCTACTGTGGCCAGTTACCACTATACAAAGTACTATTTAAGTGATTAAAATACAATCAGGACAACAACAATCATTTTAGTCTTGAGACTCGATGCTGCTATGGAAAACTCTAAGGGTTAAGAGGGTTCTACTCAAGGTACTCCTGGGTGGCTCAGTTGGTTGAGTGTGTGACTCTTAATTTTGGCTCAGGTCACGATCTCACGGTTTGTGAGACTGAGGCTCACGTCGGGGTCCGTGCTGACAAGGTGGAGCCTGCTTGGGATTCTCTCTCCCTCTCTCTCTCTCTCTGCCCCCCCCACTCCCTACTTGTGTGTCCTCTTTCCCTTTCCTCTCTCTCAAAATAAATAAATAAATAAACTTAAAACAAAAAAAAAGTAACTCATTTAGTGTAAGTAACAAGTAGCTCAAAGGGAAGAATCTGCAATTTTTCCATTTTATCTATGGAAGATGAAAACAATACAGTGTCAAAAATTTGAGGCCAGGGCAGGGGAGTTCTCCTTTCCTTTCTGATTATCAGAACTTAATGTGTTTTTACCCTGGCATTTGATCCTATTGAGGGCTTCAAACATTTTGGAACAGCAAACTTCTCCCATTAAAGATCTCAGCAATATTTAATTAGAATATGACTAAGCAGACCCATTCCTAACATCTACAGGTCCTAGGACAAGAGGACCAAGGAACACATGCTATATGTGTATATATGTCTAAATATTTAACAGTAAAAATTCCAGCTAAGAAACTGTTAAATCAATTATCTCTGCCTATCTTGACAAATATACATCTTCCAAATAACCTGGAAGACCAAGTTCAAATAACAAGTTCCAGGACATCTTAGAGACGGACACTAGATGATGACAGCATAGGAAGAGCAGATCTCTAACCCATCACTGTACTATCCTCTCTTCCCATCTCAAATTTCATCCTGCATTACAAGGATGAAGGATACCCAAGCTCTATTTGTACCTCATGCAGAGCCATCCCTTAGCCACAACTCAAGTTTATATACCTGCCCTCAGAACAGATCCAGGTAAGAGGCTCACACAGGCCATGGAAAAGCCTGGAGGCGGGGTTACCTGGATCATGGTCCAAAAGTAAAGGCACAGCTGCAAATAGGGAAGCTGCTTGGCCTATATACTCCTTGCCTTGTGGTAAATGGCAGTGCCAGGGCAGGGACCCCTAAAGTGCAGAGCCCAGTGCACAGCTTCCATTCCCCTACTGAAGGGCAGTATTTCCATCAAGTATAAACAGGGAATGCACTTCTGGAGGTGATATGGGTCTCCTAAAAACCTCCTAAAAAATCTGCCACCCCTAGAACTTTTGTTTTTTCATTCTAATTTTGACTTAATGAAATATGAAATAAATACAGAATAAATAAGAAAGAGGGTTGCTAATTACTGGAAAGGCACCTAACATTAAGAATTACTTTCAGCCTGAACCTTTCAGAGACAGATCATCAGTAGCCTTCAAAAACAGTAAAATTGGACTCTTTTGAAAGCTCTTTCCTCAAAGAGTTTTTTAAGATGTATTCTGAGTAATTCTAACTTAACATACATGGCTCATTGACATAAAATGTAATAAAAAAGTTCTCAATTGTGATGACAAGTATTATTACTAGTCTATGCCTTTGAATTTTTTTCTAAACCTATAGGTCATTTGTAATTATTAGAATTAATAAAGCAAATTTAAGCAACTTCATTAAAACTAAAAATTTATACTGAAAGATTTCTACAAGCAAAGTTTTAAATGTAATAAGGGAAAAAATTAAACTTCACTGTAGGTACTGTTGCACCAGATATTCCAGCAAATAAATTACCCCTTGGCAATGTTATGTTAAAATGGGTACTTTGGTTTGGAGTCACTAAGGTATATTTCTCATTTTTATCACAATTAAGATAATGCAAATTTCGATAAGGTAAGAAGTGGCATAAATTTATTGCTCAGGAAAAAGAATTCTTTTTCAAAGACTTTCTTCTGTCATATAACATTTCAATAAACAGTGAAGATAACACTTCTTTAAAAAATATTTATTTATTTACCTTGAGAGAGAAAGCATGAGTGGGGGAGAGGTAGAGAAAGGGAGACAGAGAATCCTAAGCAGGCTCCATGCCCAGCACAGAGCTGGACACAGGGCTCGATCTCCTGACTGTGAGATCATGACCTTAGCCGAAATCAAGAGTGAGATTCTCAACCAACTGAGCCACCCAGGCACCCCAATACTAGACTTTTCTTTGAACATGCAGATAATAATGGTACCTATCTCACAAGACTGCTCTAAGTCTCAAGTGAAATAATAATACATCATGTAAAGTCCTTAATACAACACCCAAAATATAGCAAAGTATAGTAATAAGTATTAGGAATTCTATCGCAAATTCTAAATTTGTTTAAAAATTTATTTAAAATTTACATGGTGACCTATTTATTTTAAAACAAGGCATTTCTACTGTTTTACTTAAAATATAAGCTTATTTTGAATAGAATACTGTAAGAGTTAACAAAACACAGGAAGTTTAACAAACATACTTTAAGAGAGTCATCTCTAAGAGTAACTAAACTGAAGCCCAAGTGTCTAGGGATTATAAGATACATGTTCTCCACAGTAAGATGCTACTGACAGAGAAAACAAAACTTCCAATTATTAGCCTAAGCTGAAAGTCACAAAGAAAGATGCTCAGAAATGGAGGTGTTAATTTGAAACTGAGCTGCTTCACACATGGATAAATCTATAGCACACTCTAAAGAAAGTAGGAGCAAGGATTTGTTTAATCCTGAACAATAATGAGGAGGTCAGTTAGTGTTTATCTAATAGTACTTACCTGTTATGAAACGATCCAATGGCAACACAGGAGCAACATGAGGTGTAGCTTGTGTAATAAGAAGATTTATCAGATCTTGTTTAAAATTCTTCAATGTAAGCAATGCTCTTGCAACAAGGCCACCCATAGAGTGACCAATTATTGCCACACTTTTTGGAGCAAATTCTTGACCCTATAAAAAAAAAAAAAAATCACCAAGGCATAATGAAGGCTTATCATAACAAAAATTCCAAATACTTACCTGTCTATATGAGCAATTTTATAGAAAAAAAGAAAATTAAACTACTTACATAAACTTGCATAAGATACAGAAATATATTTTCATTTACTTATAATTGGTATATGCTACCATTTTGTATCCTGCCTAATATTTTTAATGGCCATGCTTTGGTTTTCTGAACCAAAATCAGAACTCTTCGTCTACCATATCATGTCTTACCATTTGTTACATTGGATGTAAAAGGTGTAATTATATTTGGTTTATTCCAATATTAGATTTTATAGCACAGAAGTCAGATCATTTGAAACTGAAAACATCACAAAAATTCAGAACAATTATGGTTGCCATAACAATATGATACCTCATCATATTGATATATCTTATCAAGTTACTTCTCTATTGTGCACCTGGGTTGAAAAAGAAACCAGCATTCCAAAATATTTATTCACTGACAATTACATATTTTATTTTTAAAATAAGCATTGCTTTTACAAAAATCTTTTGTCTCCATATAGTATCCTTAGTTTCACTGCCAAACTTTTGCTTATCACTCTCCACACTAATCCTTCATCTATGCCTTCTCTCATAACTATGAATAAATCGGGCTTTTTACAGAAAAGAATTAACATAGTAAGCCTGAGACTGTTATCTTATAATGGACTGCATATAAGTTGGCTCTGGGATACAGTCTGGAACCTTAGATTCCTGGATTTTCCCATAATTTCCTAAATGGAAGAATGGCTCACTATGCTGAAACTGTTTTGCAAATAATACAGTTTATACTGCATACCTGCTGTCCTTCTGGTTGGGATTTTAGTACACGGTAGGCACAGGGTCTCTACATGACCAGCCCCCAGTAAATACTATGGGCACTGAACTTCTCATGAGCTTCTCTCACAGACAACACTTCACACATCACAATTCATTGCTGTATGAATTAAATGGATCCAGTGTAACTCCCCTTTAAGGACATTTGGAGGCTTGTACCTGGCTTCCTCTGGACTTCGCTCCATGCACCTTTTCTTTATTGGTTTTGCTCTGTATCCTTTCATTGTAATAAATCATAACCATGAATACAAGTACATGCTGAATCCTATGAATCGTTCTGGACAATTATCAAGCCTGGGGATGGTCTCGGTGATTCCCAACACAGAGCTGATCTTAAAAAAAAGCCAAACTCTCCATTTGTGCTCTGAAACCCATCCCCTTCTGCCTTCTCAAGTACATCACTCCAGCAATTCTACTTTTTTCTTGCATTGTTGTTTCTCGCTCTCTACCAGATCATTCTTGCTAGTATAAAAATATATTATTCTCCCTTAAAAAATAAAAACTACTCTTTTGACACCAACTTTACCCTGAGTGAGCACATCTTTCTCTACATCTCTATAGTGTAACTCACTAAAATCAACTGCCTATACAGTACTTGGTCTCCAATTTCTCAACTTCCATACACTCTTACACCCACTCCAATCACACTTTCACTTCAACACTCCTCCAAAATTATCAAGTCACCAAGGAATCTAATGGCCAATTCTCAATCCTCATCTTATATGAACTATCAACAGGATTTGACATAGATCACTTCCTCCTCTTTGAAATGATTTGTTCGGATTCCTTGACAACGTATTATCCTGGTTCTCCTCTTACCTCACTGGCTACTTCTTTTTAGTCTCCTGCTGTTTCCTTCTCATCTCCCCCATGTCTTTTTTTTTTTTTTTTTTAATGTTTACTTTACTTTTGAGAGACAGACAGAGACAGAGTGTGAGCAGGAAAGGGGCAGAGAGAGGGAGACACAGAATCCAAAGCAGGCTCCAGGCTCCTAGCTGTCAGCACAGAGCCCAGCACAGGACTTGAACTCATGAACAGATCATTACCTGAGCTAAAGTCAGATGCTTAACCAACCCAGGCACCCCACCCCCCATCTCAATAAGGTAATGACTCAGGCCTCAGTCCTTAGGTCTCTTCTTTCATATCTTGACTCCATAGTGATCTCATCCAATCTCATGGCTTTAAATACATCCATATACTGGCAAGCCTCAAGTTATTATCTCCAGACTGGACCTTTTTCTCTTGAACTCTAAACTTAAAATCCAATCGCATCCTAACTATACTTGGGATATCTAACATGCATCTTAAATCAAACCGGTCTAAAACTAAATTATTAATCTCCTCCAAATATATTCTTCTTACATTTTCCCCCATCTTAGATAATGGCATTTCAATCCTTCTAGTTGTTCAGCCAAAAACTCTGGGTCATTCTCAACTCTTTTTGTTTCACACTGCTCCTCCATATCTGATCTGCCAGCAAATCTTGTTTCCTTTAAGATTTATACCAATCTATTTCTTATCACCTCCAATGTTACCAACTTGATTTAAGCCACCATTATTCATGCCTGAATTACTGCAATGAGCCCCTAACTGGTCTCTTTACTTCTCTCACATCCCTTCATTTATCCTTGAAACCATCCACAGAATAATATCATTAAAACCTAAATCAGGACATGTCACTCCTTTGCTCAAAAATCTCAGCAGTGTCTTTCCCTATCATTTCAAATAAAAGGTAATATTCTTAAAATTGCCTACAAGGCTCTATCATTTGTCTCCCCCTGCCAAATTTTCCTTTATTAACTTATTCTATCTACTCCAGCCATACCAGTCTCCCTGTTTTTCTTCTAATACAGCTCACATGTGCTGGCCTCATATATTTTACTTGTTTCCTCTATCTGAAATACTTTCCTCCTAAATACCCTCATGCCCTCTAATTTATAATAAACTGTCTGCTTCTCAATAGAGATCTTTGCTGGGGACCCTTATTTGTAATTGTAGTCCTCTACCCTTTGCTCCCTATGTCCCTTTCCTGTTTTATTTTACTTTTTGGCATTTATCACTCTGTAAGATAGTATATATTTTTATTATTTATGTTTATTATCTGCCTCTCCTGACTAGAACATAAGGTCCATGAGGGCTTAGATTTCTGTTTTATTCACTGCTATAACTGCATGTAGATTCAGGTGCTGAATAAATGAGGTTTCCTCCATGTGTAATGTCCTCTCACTTTCTCACACTCAAATCCTGTCCATTCAACAAAATTCAGTTGTCTCGAATTCCTACAGTACCTGGTTGTAAAACGAATCTTATGTTCTAAAAGCCTCAATTTAAAAGCGAGTTTATTAGCTCTATTATAAATTTAATATGTAGTCATTAGGGAAAATATGAAAACAAAAATACAGAAGGGAAAAACTACCTAGCATAACACATTAAAGATACACTTATTTATTGTGAATGACATTTATGGAGATAAATCTCATTCTGTAAAAACATATTTATCTTACCCAATATATATCAAATACTTAAAAGGTCCTGCACCTAATTTCGCTTGTCTCCTATATTATCCAGTACAGATTTAAGCTTAAAAAACACTTGCTATTGAAGTAACTTTAAAATGCTAACGCAAAGAACCATGAAGTCTAAATTTCATTCTCAAGATGCATAAGAATATCATACTGCTTGAATTTTACTATAGCTATATAGTTAAGTCTTCAAATTAGGCAGTGCAAGTTCTCCAACATTGCTCTTTTTCAAGACAGTTTGGCTTTTTTTGGGTACTTTGCATTTCCACATAAGTTTGTAAATTTTTACAAAAACACCTCCTGGTATTTTCATTTGTATTGCATTAACTCTGCTGCTTAATTTGGAGAGAATTTATCTCTTAATTTTAAGTCTTCTAATCCTTAAAGTTGGTTCATTTATTTGGATTCCTTTCCCTCAGCAAGTTTTACAGTTTGCAGTGTACAGATATTGTATATCTCCCATTAAATTTATCCATAAGAATTGTATTTTTATATTATTGAAAATGCACTTTAAAATTTCCCCTTCCATTTGTTCAGTGATTTTTGAATACTGACCATTTGCCCTGAGAAATTGTTAAATTCACTCATGAATTATAATTCTCTGTAAATTCCTTTAAATGTTTCTGTATATTTGTATCATCTTTAAATGTTTCTGTATATTTGTATCATCTTGTGATCACATCTTATTTATCTCATCCAATAAACACCTTTATCAGATACAGAAACAGTTCTTAACCTAATAGCTTGTTTCCTCCTGTAATGCATAATACTTAATTTCCTTGGGTTGAGAAAGTTTGCATCTGTTCCTAATGCACTGAATTTTGTGGGTTTTCCTTAAATCATGAATGGGTACTGAATGTAACCAAATGATTTTCTTCATCTATTAAGATGATCCTACGATGAATTACACTGATTGATACTTAAATATTAAACCAACTTTGCATTCTTGGGATAAATCCTATCTAGTCATATTATAGTTTAAGATATTGCTGGATTTCATAGCCTAATTTTTTGTTGAGAATTTTACATCTATGTTCATGAGGAATACTCTCTATTTTTTTTCCAAACAATATTAACTTCTGATTTTGATAAGGTTTGCATGTTTCTTAAAATGAACTATAAGTATTATCTCTTCCTCTATTTTCTCAGCTTGTATGAGATGGGATTATTTCTTTCTTAAATGTGTCATGGATTTTACCACTGAAGTCATTTAACTCTAGGGTTTTCTTGGCAATAAGATTTTTAGTTATAAATATAAAAAATGTTAAACATATAGGGCTAGTCAGAGATTCTTTCTCTTGTGTCTGTTTTGTAATTTGTTTCAAGAGATTTGAGAATTTCAACCAAGTTGTCAAATTTATTGGTGTAATGTTGTTCATAATAATCCTTTAATAGCTTCTTACTATCTGTAGGCTCTGTAGAGATGTCCCTTCTTTCATTCCCAGTATTGTTAATTTGTATTCTTTTTTTTCATCAGTCTAGATAAGGGTTTACCAATTCTTAGATCTCTTAGAAGAATAAGCCATTGGTATAATTTTTCCCCCTTTGTCTATTTTCTGTTTCCTTGATTTCTATTCCCTATTGTTTCCTTCCTTTTGAGTT